TCCTACAAGTTTTAGAAACCATGGATGGTTAGCTACACCTTACCATGGTTCCTAGTGAACCATGGTTAAGGTTAGCTTCTCCTAGAAGCTACCTCCTCTATATATTTGTAAAACCCTCTCTTGTAATCACTTTTGGACATTTATGAGAATTAGAAATCAGATTTCTCTCTCATTTTCAAGAGTCAAATTCGTTAGAGAGAGAGAAATTTCGAGCTGTAAGGAGTCCTAGAAAAAAATTTTGAGGCCTTGAGAACTGTACCCAAGCTGTCTATTTATAGGCATTAGAAAGTAGCCAGAATGGCCCGTTCCAAATCCGGAACGGCTCGTTCTAGATCCGAACGTTGTGTGTTAATCACGCACCTGGGAACAACCCGTTCTGAACTAAGAACGGTCCGTTCCGGAGTTGAGATTAACACTATATTCCCTTGCTTAGAATGGCCCGTTCCAAACTAGGTTATTAGGCCTTTTTAACAGTTTGGAACGACCCGTTCTGGTTTAAGAACGGCCCGTTCCAGACCAAGTTTTTTTAGGCCTTTTGATTGGTTTAGAACGGCCCGTTCCAACCAAGAGTCTTTAAGCCTTTTAGGTGACTCGGAACGGCCCGTTCCAATTTAGGAATGACCTGTTCCAGATTTGGGAACGGCATGTTCCGATTTTGGAATAGCCCGTTCCGGGCCACTAAAAATAGTTATTTTGGGCTTTCGGCCCTCTGATGTCCTATCTTGTTATTTTCTTGCTTTGGGAGTTCCTTTCCTTTATAATAGACGTCCATTTCTTTGTTTGTATGCCCCCCGGACGAAATTGGGTGTCTACAGCTGCCCCTCTTTACTTGTCCTTTGGAATAGTTGTGTGTTGCTTTCACAAAGGAAAGTAAAGACGTAGACATTTCGTTCGGGTCTTCTCTTTGTCTCTTTGTGTGACGCTTCTATGTTGCTTCCCTTGGATAGGTGTATTTGCTCGTATTATTACCTTTTAGAGCATTTGAGTGTTGGTTGTGTACTCTATTGGGTAACAAGGCTGACAAACTGTACACCTGATCTTCAGTCTTCGAGTAGAAGCTCCATTATTTCTCTTTGTTGGTTGTGTACTCTATTGGGTAACAAGGCTGACAAACTGTACACCTGATCTTCAGTCTTCGAGTAGAAGCTCCATTATTTCTCTTGTGATATTGTGTCCCTTTATTTGTAGCTTGTTTAAGAGGGAGTATTTTCGTAGCCTCTCCAAGCTGTGGTTATTTGGGTATTTTTTTTTTTAAAAAATAATATTTACGTAAAAAATTCCAAAACAACTATGAATAAAAAAAAATTTTCTTTCCAAATAACTGTTAGAATCGCATGCGTGAAGGTGTTTAGAAATCAGTCATTTATTAATTAGAGGATTCAGTAACTTCATTTTCCTTAAATTGTTTGACTAATCTTAGAAACGTGGGTAAGAAAAAGACCATATTCACCATATACACAAATATTACGTCCAGGTTCACAATTGTAATAAATTTGACGCAGGATTTTGCAGAGAAGAACGAAGTTCGATAAATAGGGAGCAGATGGGGCGTCTTTACCCTCATCCATTTCTCAATTCAATTTCTCTTTCATCAGAGCTCTCAACCGATTATTCTCATTCTCATTTTCATCTTGGATCTCCCGAATGGCTGAAAGCGCGGCGAACAGAAAGCGCAGCGGCACGAACGACGTCGTTTTGGGCGGCGAAAGGAAGAAGAACACGCTACGCGATGTGGACCCCGCGGCCGCATTGGCCTTAACGCGGCACGAGTTCGGGGAGCATGGTGGCGTGAATATGTCGATCGAGGCGTCGGCGACGTTCACGGTGATGGAGCCGGACACGCTCCGCCGCTTGTTCGCCGGCGAGCTTGGCCCGGACCGCGACTTCTTCATCTACAGCCGGCACTTCAACCCGACGGTGCTGAACCTGAGCCGGCAGATGGCCGCCTTGGAAGGCACGGAGGCGGCGTACTGCACCGCCAGCGGCATGTCCGCGATCTCGTCGGTGTTCTTCCAGCTCTGCAACTCCGGTGGACACGTGGTGGCCTCCACCACGCTCTACGGTGGGACCCACGCCCTCCTCTCCCACTTCCTCCCCCGCACTTGCAACATCTCCACCACGTTCGTGGACATCGCGGATTTGGAGGCGGTTGAGAGCGCCATCGTGGAAGGGAAGACCAAAGTGCTGTACTTCGAATCCGTGTCGAATCCCAGCCTGAAGGTGGCCAACATTCCCGAACTGTGCCGCCTGGGTCACGCAAAGGGCGTGACCGTCGTTGTCGACAACACCTTCGCTCCCATGGTTCTCTCTCCCGCTCGCCTCGGTGCTGACGTCGTCGTTCACAGCATCTCCAAGTTTATTAGCGGCGGTGCTGACATTATTGCAGGTCCGTTCCATTCTCCGTCATTTATTGCGATAAATATTTCTATTGCCGTTAAAGGATTTTGATGTCTGCAGTTACAAGTGAAACTCCATGAATCTATTCCGCTAACATTTTTTTATTATATCGTAAATTAAAATTTGAAACTAAATTTATTAAATTTAACTCTGACATTAACAAATTTCACCGCAACATTAGTTAACGCAAATTTTAGCCAATTATGTCGATTAATCAAAATGTTTAAAATTTAGATTTTAACCTTTAATATAAATAAATTATGTTAAGAACGTCCGTTTTGTCCCAAACAGTGGTGCAGTTTGTTTTGAAACCGTAAATGATCATGATTTACCCTTAAAAATAATTTTTCATTTTTTTTTTTACACATACTCAAATGTTTCAATGTGTTATCCTAACCTGCCGTTAAAATGTGAAAACAAAAAGAGTCTATATTTTTAGTTAAGCGATTCTTTGCCTGATATTGTTTCAGGCGTAGTGTGTGGGGTTGGGTAGTAATAATATATGTATTTTTTTTTTATAAAGAAAATAAAAAGAATCTTTTATCGAATTTCCTCCATCCATTAAAAAAAAAGTCAAAATTTGATAGAAGAAATTTTATTATTTTTAATAATTTTGTGTGACTGAAATTTAAATAAATAATAAATGAAAAATTTATAATATCAACGAAGATATAATATTGTTAATGAGAGATTTAGCTTTAACTCCCTCTCTCTTTTATTCAATGTGTCTAAACTCATTTAATTATTAGTCCAAAATCAATCAATTACCCACTAAAATCCTCATATTTCTCATTCTCTCTGTATTATAACAATTATATTAATATATTATTTTGTTTTTTCTTTACATTACATTATTTATGTGTTACTTTTTTTATTTTCCTTTTTCCCCTTCTACTACCTAAAAATGATTGTAGGTTTGTAAAACAAAAAATCTAAATTAATTAATAATTAAATTTTTATTTTTATTAAATCTCTAAACTAAATTATTATTCTTGTAAAAAAAAATTTTACAATTGGGTTTCCAACAGTTTTAAAACTATCACAAATTTTTATTTCGTGACAGTTTAAAATTGTTATATACTAAATTTATCAATACGATCATTTTCTTTATTCAAAATTAAAGACTAAACTATACTAGATAAGAGATTTCCTATATTTTAATTTTATAAAATATTTTTTTTTATGTTTTTCATCCCTATGCAAATTATAATATTTGCGATACCGTTTAAGATGGTTATTTGGTATTCTTTTAAACATATAAGCAATTTTTTAATGTCACAATCTAATAATAGTGATTTCAATTTTTTAAGTATAAAAATACAAAAGAAAAATATAAGAACTAAAAAAAATATTTTTTATTTTTTGTTATTTAGTTTTAGGACTTTATTAGAAATTCTAACATAATTTAGAAATTTAGTGATTATTTTTAATCAAAATAGGAGTGTACATTTATCATTTTTCAATGTTAGGCAGGTGATTCAAATAAAAGAAAAAAGCTACAAGCAACCAACCATGCATATTAGTTTTTGGGCCCAAAGTAATTTTGTTTGGGACGGAATTTTACATAATTTTGTCTTTTTAATTTTCTCATTTTCATTTGCAAACTTATTTTTGATACTTTTTTTTTTTTAGACATACTTATTTTTCTTTCAAATGCGAGGAATAGCGAAAGCAAAAATATTCTTTTTCACGAAAGTTGGTGTTCTTACCTTTTGCTCTTGTCATGAATGCACACCCACGTGTACGTACGGTCATGTCTTTTCGCTCACTTGTCGTATTTTCTTTATCAACGTGTTAGTTGCAATGTGATAATGATATTGTTCTAATTGATTTGTATCCACATATTTATTTGACTTCAAATATTTATTTTAGTTAATGGTGGAAATCAATTAATGTATATGTGTTTTCTGATACTAAAGAAAATGTTTGTATGTTTAACATTTAACAATAAAATTTGTGATTTGCTTGTTTATATTTTTAACATCTTATTAAACAGGCGCTGTGTGCGGGCCTGCTAGGCTTGTGAATTCGTTGATGGACCTTCAGCAAGGGGCCCTGATGCTGCTTGGGCCAACAATGAATGCGAAGGTGGCGTTTGAGCTGTCAGAGAGAATTCCTCACTTGGGCCTAAGGATGAAAGAGCATTGCCAGCGTGCATTGGTGTTCGCGAGGAGGCTGAAGAAATTAGGAGTGAAGGTTATCTACCCGGGCCTTGAAGATCACCCGGAGCATGATTTGTTCAAATCATTATTCAACAAGGAATATGGGTATGGTGGGCTTCTTTGCGTTGACATGGAAACGGTGGAGAGGGCGAACCTGTTGATGGGGCACCTGCAAAACTATTCTCAATTTGGTTTCATGGCTGTTAGCTTGGGCTATTATGAGACCCTCATGTCCTGCTCTGGCAGTAGCACTAGCAGCGAGATGAGTGAGGAGGAACAGAAGCTTGCTGGAATCTCCCCAGGCCTAGTAAGGATGTCAATCGGATACATTGGCACATTGGAGCAGAAATGGACTCAGATGGAAAAGGCACTCGCTAGATTCCATCAAAACCAACCACTTTGATCCTTTTTGTATTTCTATTTATTTTCTTAGTACTTTTACATTTTGCTTTGCTTTATAAATTTATGATTTTTGGTTATGTACTTAACTAGAGAGGAAGCAATTATTTGGTTATGTATTTATTTATGGTTTTACATCTATATCTTTCACTCATCTCCTTTGTTCTCCTATTTAGGTCGATAATGTTGACCTAACCCGGGTGAGGTAAACGCAAAATTTGGTAGTAAGCCTCGGTCTAGGTGTAAGCAATTATTAGGGGGGGTGGTAAAATCGATATGCGGTTAGGTACGCTAAGAATTAACGGATTGACTTAAGTATTTTAACTTTCACTTGGTTCGATCTATCTAAAACGTGAGTTTCTCAAGTTAAATGGTTGGTTGAAATGACTTGACTTATTGATTTGTCAATTTTTTATTTTTAATATTAAGTTTAGATAAGTTAAATTAGTGTTATTATAATTTATAATTTAATATATAATAAATATATTGTGCATTTGATTTATTTTGTTATATATAAGTTGAGATTTTTTTTGCGTTATGTTGAAAAAACTATTATTATTACAATTAAATATATATTTTATTATATAATAAATTTGAGATTTGTTAAATCAAATCAAGTTTATTGTAATTTAAAATTTATTATATTATTTTGATATACCGAATTATGTAAGATATTTAGATATTAAAAATATGTTAAAAGAAATATTCAAAATAAATATACAAAAAAAATTATTTTTTTTAACAAACTGGTTCGCCAACCCATTTTTACCATTTTTACCTGGTTGGCCAACATGACCTAGTCCATTTTTTGCAAGCTAATAGCAATGTGGGCTTAATGGGCGAAATAACCAGTTTTGTCATCCCTAATGATTATACAAAGTTTAGGATTAGATTTTTGTTTTTAGTGAAATTTTGTTATAAGATTCCTTCTATTCAAACTATCAACCAAATACGTTTTCAACTTAAATGTGTTTTCTAAAATTTTAATATTAATAACGAACTATGATTTTGACAAATCTATCATTATCTTGCAAAAATGTTCAATGATGTTAACTTTGATAGTGATCAAGTCTTCAATTTCAATTAAGTAAATCATATCAAGACATAAACAATAAAATAAAAAAAATAAAAAACTAGCAACTAAAGAAATATAAAAGAAAGCAAAAATTACACTCGTACCTCCTGTATTTTTTTAAATTGCACTCGATACCAGTGATTTAAAAACCGGACCGAACCGGCCGGTCGGACCGGTTGGACCGGGAACCGGTGGTCCAGCCGGTTCGAATCCTAAGTTGGATCGGTTATGCAGTCGACCCATTTTAAACCGGATTGAACCGGTCAATTTTCTGGTTCAACCGGTACACCGGTGGGTCAAACCAGTTCAACCACTTTTTTTCTTTTTTCTTTTTTAAATTTTTTTAAGGGACCATAAACCACAAAAATAATAATGAAAATTAAATCTCTTAATAGAAAAGTAAGGAGTCTTATTAAATATAACAATGACTACTTGTTCTAATATTTTTTTTTGCAATATATACAACTTAAATAACTTTTATAGTATATTATTAATTTTAAATTATATATTTAATAATGCAATATCTATGTAAATATTACATATATTATTTTGTGATATTAATTGCAAGCATATTATATATGTACATATTATTTATATTTTTAATTTGTATTAATATACCGTTTAACATGTAATTTTTTATGTATTTTTTTACAAAATAAAAATAAAAATAATTTTAAATAAGATAGAAAAATTGAAATTTAAAATAAGATATGAATTTATTAAAATTTATAAGTATAAAATATATTTAATATGAATATTTTTTTAATAAAAATAAATAAAAATCGAGTCATGCGGTTCAACTAATGACCCACCCATTCAACCTTTGACCCACTGACCCAGTACCTTAATCGGTTCGATGACCGGTCTGGTTTTTAAAACTATGCTCGATACCCCTTATATTTTGTGGACCTAAAGTGAGATTTCTTAAAAGTTGAAAAGATGTTACATTGTTCCCAACTAATAAAAAATGTCAAGTTTATTAACATATTTGTGCCATATGCAGACCACATGATACAAATATGTTAACGGACTTGATGTTGTTTAAGGATCGAGGGACAATGTAACATATTTTCAACTTTTAAGGGATATCATTGTAGGTCCAAAAAATAGAAAGATATTAGGTGCAATCTTGAGAAAACACACGAGGTGCGAGTGTAATTTACTCTAAAAGAAAAGAAACTATAAATTTATTAAAGGAAAAGTGATAAAGAAAACATACACATAATTCTTGAAACTAGGAGCCATTTGTTAAGGATGGACAGTTTTGGTACACAAATATTTTTGTGTAAGTGTTTCATTACCTTTACAAACAATGACGGATGCATGCTTATGAGAGTGGGGCAGTTGCCCCCACTAAAATTTTACTTTTATTTATTTATATATATATATATACATTATTTATTTTTATAATTATATATATATATATATATATATTA